CTCCACCCGTGAAACAAGAGCAATCTTCCCTCTCATTAAGCTACTCTCATCCAAAAGAATCTTTATGGGAATAGTTCTATGTGTGATCCTTTATTGAAATAGTTGTAGTAATCACCTACAATGATGGTATTCAAGTCACTGAACTAGGAGAAGCCTCCAATAGCTAGCTGAAAAACAGTTTGGGTAGCTTCTTGAGAGTATTGGGTAAAGAAATCCAAATTCTTAGACAGAGATTTATATTCTAGGTCCCACAGATTCAAATGAGACGATGCCTCCGTGTTCCAGCATTAAAACTCTTTCACTTACACTCTTCTTCCTTTCGCATGGAAATTATGGTTGGTTGGTAAGGTATATGCAATTGGAAAAGCAGGTACCCTCTGAAGTGCTTTCTAGCTGGATAATTTCAATTGAAACTGTATGAATTCCAGGCAAAAGAATATTACAAAGCCGGATTTTGATCTCCATTTGTCCTTTTCTTTTGTGGGGGGTGGGCATGGGGAGGGAAGCATTTTCATCTTGGGATGGTTCCTTGCGGCTACAGTGCTGAAGCTGGGTTTGGATTTGTGATCTTCGGACTTCATTCAGTCTTCTAAGTAAGTGGGATTACACAGGTGTAGGCCACAACCTCCAGACAAAATTTTGTTTACTACTTCTTCCTCCTTCTTCTTCCCCTAATTCTTATTCTTATTTTGGTGGTGCTTGTTATCAGACCTAGGGCTGTACATATGCTAAGTAACTACTTGGCACTTGAAGTACATTCAACCTTCATTATTCAAATAAAATAAGATATGCAGAAAACCTCAGGAGCATGGCTGTTGTATAGTAACTAGCAGTCTCTTTTTGATCTGTGGGTTATGTGTGTGTGTGTGTGTATGTTCATGTAGTACATACATGCCAGAACTGGAGTTTGAACTAAAAATCTTACCTTCTTGCTTGGCTTTTTTTGTTGTTGTTGCTGAAGGATGGTGCTCTACCACTTGAGCCATGCCTTCACTTCCAGCTTTTTTGTTAGTTAATTTGAGTTAAGTATCTCCTGAACTTTTCTCTCTGGGCTGGGCTGGCATCTTATAGGGCTCCTCAGATCTCAGCCACCTGAGTAGCTAGGTAGGTTTATGGGCACCTGACTAATCTGTGCTTTCTGTGGTTTCAATTACCCATAGTCAACTATGGTCTCAAAGCATTCAATGAAATTTTCTAGAAGAAAAGAAGTCATAAGGTTTAAATGACTGTTATAATTATATATTGTTGTTACTGTATGATTTTTTTCTTGGCTATTACTATTGATCTTCCTGTGCCTAATTTATCAATGAAATTTTATTATTAGGATGTGTATCTCCAGGCCTTGGTACTGGCCTTGGTTTTTGTCATGCCTTGGAGATCTTCCAACACATTCTTCATAGGTAGCAGAGACCTGTAAACCAGAGGTGTCATACAGACTAGGGAAATGTTAAAGTGATTTTAAAATTAACAACATAATATGAATTATTAATTTCCTTAGATTAGAAATGACTTATTAGCCTGCTCTCTCTAATGTTTACATTCATAGAATATTAAAGTTTGAAGATTTAGGGATAAATTCATTTGAACCCTATATTTAGACATAGACATAAGCTTTCAAAGAAGAAATGGTTTGTTCAAGGTGCTATATATGGTTAGTAGAAGGAAGAAAAGAGTGATTTCCTAAGAGATTTCCTTTACACATAGCACTGCAAAACATTGATTGATCGATTGACTGATGGATTGACTTACTGATTTAAATTTTTGTGTGTATGCCAGTACTGGCCTTGAGCTCAGGACCAACTCTTTCATTTTGTTTTTTTTTTTTGCTTAAGTCTAGTGCTGTTCTGCTTGAGCCACAGCTCCCCTTCCTTTTAAAGGTTTTAGAAGACAGTTCATTTTGCACAAAATACACAATTCAAATTATCAAGGTCAGCTTGAGATTTCTGTCTCCAAATATGGTAAGCAAATATAGTGTCTACAGTATCTACTGTGTTTTTTGCTGTTCACAATTTCAAGATTTTTTGGTCAACTATTTTATACAAAATTAATTATATATGATTGATGTGGTTATAAACAGGCAGAATCTCCTAGGTACACAAACTGTCATGGATGAACTTCTTCACTTATTAAAATATTCGTGAGAAATCCTGAGATAGAGGAGAAAAGCACAATTGCTTGGATAGGAAAAAATGTGCTGTACCTGAAAATGTCTGTTAAATAAATTTGTTTTTCTTTCTTTTTTGGGGGGAGAGGGGAAGGGAGTTTTGAAGGTGGAACATTTGGCTCACTGGAGTTCCTTGCTCAATGCTGGTGTTCTATGTCTTGAGCCAGTCCTCTTGCCAGCATTTTGCTGGAGTCTAGAGGACTTTTTTTTTTGCCTGAGCTGTACACAGGCTGTCATTCAAACCTCGGCCTCCTGAGTAGATATATTACAAGTGTGAGCTACCAGTGTCTGGCTTTAAACAGGTAAACATTCTAGCCCTGAAACCCAGGCCATGTCTCTTTCATGCAAACATTTAGATCTGACAAGTCCAACAACTCTGTGCTTGGCACACAGAAAAGAGATGCAAGTGGATTTGGAATTGCTCTTTTGTTCCCCAACACTGGGTAAGGATTTCCATCAGATCAGCTTGCAAATGTTGTAGACTTTGGAACTTAGGAAGGATGTGGACGTGAAGCATCCAACATGGGCTGATTTACCACAGTTTCCTCCACACCTCCCACCCCAAGCTAGCTTTAGTTTTCAATTATATAATTTATAAAAGCATATTGTTCATAGGGAAAAATTTTAATTTGTTTGGAAGAAGAAGTTGGTTCCTGTTTTAGAGATTATAACTATTAAGTGAAATGGAAACATTCTTGTTTCCTTTGGCCAAGATGTATTATTCTTGGGAATAGGTTTTCCAGCAGTTTTAGGATTCTTAAAAATATCTGACTACATTTTTTCTTTTCTTTTCTTTTTCTCCTCCCCCCTCTCTTTCTCTCTTCATTTAGCATTCTCATTCATCCACAGTCCAGGAAAAAATTTTATGTAGCTAAATAACTCTTGGAGAAGATGCACCTTCAGACATTTCACAGCTGGATAGGCTCAGATGAGTTTATACAGCAAAAAGCCTATTCCAAATAAATAAATAAATCAAACTCAAGTGTAACCTTTGCAACATTTTCAAAATAATTGTCATATTTTTAGCAAGGGCTATTAGAATGTATCCTTCCTTAAAATAAACGAGACTACAGACTTATACTCACCTGAGCTGCTGCTGTTATTTTTGTGATGGTGATTCTTTAATTAATATAATTTAATAGTATCTGGGTGCTGAGATTCAAAGAAATGGGCAAAGGGATGCCTTTCCTGAGATGAAGAGTGTTTTAACTCAAATCTATTCAAGGTGTTCTCCTTGAGAATCTCCTCTTAAATCATGTTACATTTCTGAATACAGTATTACCTCATCCTGTGATACAGATACACTGTTACCTCATCCTGTGATAGATACAATGTTTTTTTTTCCCAGACCAGGCCAGGAGGAGTTGTGAAGTCCATTTACCACCTTCTATGACCTCTGGGTAATTTTTTGTGAGTAGAAGCTTAAAAGCAAGTGGATGTACTTAAAAAATATTTGACTAGTCTCTTCTCTCCTGCTGCTACCCATGAATGATTTCTTCTTTAGTCACAAATCTATTCTGAATGCTAATTAAATATTTACCAAGTCTTTTAAAAACCTCTTTGAATGCAAATTTTGAAAATAGCAATTCATGTTCATTTGAATAAGCAGATTATTTTTCTCCTCCCAAATTAAAGGCCTCTGAGTTTGATTTATATCAATTCAATGACTTGAGAAAAAGTGTGTGTGTGGGGGGGGAAGTTGTGCACCTACTATAAACATGACTCTGAACCAGAAGTGGACATGAAAGTAATCTTCCCAGTACTGGGAAACCAGTCAGAAATGACAACACCCCAATTTATTCTATTTACACTGTTATCCCTTGGGCTTTATAGTGAAACTAGATGCAAAACACTCAGTTTTTTAGCAGGTATATTAACTTTGGAGCATTTTCTATATATTACCATATTTTCTCACAGTTTTTCAATTTATATATATATATATATGTTTTCTTTAAGTAGTTGTACCAAGGAGTTGCCATTCAGCAGAGCAGTTTATAAAAACAGTGCCTCCTGATCAACATCACCCCTTTCAACGTTTTCTCCCACCCCTCCAAACCCACCCCTTACCTCATTTTGCTTAAATTTTAGGCTACGCATTGAATTGTTTTTTGCCATTTAACAAAGCAATTTATGTAGACAATGCATCTGTATCTTCACCATCCCTTTTAGACCCACCCCTTCCTATATTGTGGCATGCACAATGCATTCTTGCTTGCATTCTGCTCATTTCCCCCATTCATTCTTTCAAGAGGAGAGGGGTAGAAGAATCTTCTTACTTTGTATTCATTAAGTTTTTGAAAATATTTTGGCATGAAAGTTTTATTTATTATATCCAAAAATAAAAATAGCATCAAAGTCTTTCAGCAACTCCCTAAAACGCAGTTAGGGAATAATGATCATATGCTAAAAAATGTAAAATGCAATTTGTGCTGTGCCCCATTTACTACAAAATCACCAGAAACAATGCATTTTGTACAGTGTATTGCCCCAGGGAAACTGGCTCAACATCAGGAATGAATAAAGAACATTGCATCTGAAATCAGCTAATTCTGCTTCAGCGCTTTTAAAAACTATTTGTTATGATATTACTTCCTGTCAAGCACATAATGTGATATTTTCCTCGATAAAACTAAACAGTTACTGTAATTCCAGCTCTCCTCATTTTCCACTCTTTAGGCACTAAATATTGAAACAATGTAGACCTGGACATTTCAAGGCAGTCATGTGATCCATGGATCTCCTTGTCTAAGGTGTGGATCTTAACCATCAATGTCAGGACCTGTTAGGTCACACTGATGCCCATACATACACACATACACACTGTTTAGATCCTTACCTGTCCACAAGCCAGGCCCATTCCTCTTTCTCCCATCCCGTGTGGACACGATAAATTTAACTCCAGGGCATCTGCTCCAGAAGCCTTTGAAATTTGGAGAGAAAAATGAAAGAGAAGGCAAAGCTTCATTCCAATGCCAGTATGTTCCCACCATTGGTAACAAGTCACGTTTGTCAAATTTAAACTATCCACTTCTATTCATGGCTGTCTTCTAGACTGTATTCAAATTTTCTCAAATTAAACAGTGTACAACCGGCACCACGACAAGAAAACAGTTACTGAATGAGGGAAGCGTGTGATTGGCTGCTCTCTATAAGCTTGATATTTAGTATCATGAACTCTTATCATTTTTTTATTACAAGAATAGCAATCTCATAGATAGATCTCAAACATAGGATGTGAGGTGATAATCTTGGTTATTAAGTCAGTAAAGAGTTTTTCTGCCAGACATCCCCTTTATCCATTCCTTAATAACTTTCATTTTTATAGAAATACTGGGGAATTAGATACAAAGACCGAGAATGTGCAAAGAAAAAGTAGGGTAGCTAAATGAATGACTAAAATTTAAAAATGTTTTTTAGCATAAAACCAATTTTATCATATTTAAACACAGATCATGGTTGGAAGCATGAATTATTGATAGTTTTGTCTGGCTTTAATAAGTCAATAGAAAATCTTCTTATTTAAATTATTAATTGCTTAAGATATACATGACTTCTATCACAATGGACAAAGTAGTTGGGAATACTCATAGACTTAAAATTCTTGGAAATTCTTCTGTTAAAAGAACTAAGATTGAACAAAATACTTAAAAATTTTAATACAATAAATTGAGGGTTCTTGGATAAATAATTGAAATTTTATATTCTTTATCTCCCTTTGTGTAATTTTGCAATACTACAAGTTCTTTTTAAATAAGACCAGCTAGAAGCTTGAATAATTTTCAGTAATATATCATGTCTATTACCTCATGTCTACTTAGGTTTACTATTTAGCTGGGCACTGGTGGCTCACATTTGTAATCCTAGATGCCCAAGAGACTCAAATCCAGAGAATCAAGGAAGAAAATTCCTACAGGCCCATCTCCAAAATGAAAAACAATAAGTCAGGCTAAAGACATGGCTCAAATAGTAGAGTATCAGCTAAGCAAGTGCAAAACTCTGAGTTCAGAGCTTTGTATACATGTGCACATGCACACACACCACATGCTACTTCCTAATGGTATCAGATCACTTTTCTGTTTAATTGTTTAATGTTTTAGCCTCTTATTCCCTGCTTTATGAATTTTAAGAACTCATTTGTGATTTTTCTGTGTACTTTCTTGCCCATCTTTACTCGTTAGTGAATGTGTGTTTTCTTCTATTTATGAAGCCTACTCCATCATTCAGTACGTTTTTTAAAATGGACTCATTATGTTTTCTTGTTTTTGATTTTGCTACCCAAATGCAATTTTGGTATTGCTTCATGTTACTAAAAGTAACTGTAAATCATACTTTCTTCCCCATTGGCTTGGTAGTTAACATAGATAAAACTCAGCCTGTTGAACTCTGAGTTCTATACCTTCCAACAAGAAGGCTTTAGGTGAATCAATTAATTTTTCTTGTCTGCAGCTGTTCAAATGAAAACTGCAGATAATATATCCTATCTCAAAATTCATGCCATGTGGGAACTATCCACTTAAGTCTATATTGCAATTATACAAAATATTCCATTTTTCCTAGTTACTTCAGATATTTTGTCTTTTTTTATTGTAAAAATACTGTACAGAGGGGTTACAATTACATGGGCAAGATAATGAGTACATTTCTTATCAAGCATTGTAGCCTCCTCCTTTGTTTCCTCTTCCCATCCTTTCCCATTCTCCCCCCACCCCTCCACCTAATCCTCCTCCCCCCCCACCAAAGTTGAGATATTTTCTTTAGACTTCTTTATTTACCTGCAATGTAGCAAATAATAGCTAATTGATATCATTTTGGGTTCAGTAAATTTTAGGTGACACTCATATACACACTTACATTATGAATAGTCCATTGCAAAATTTCAATTAACTAGATAGATAATAATGGTTGATATCAATAAGGTATTAATATTATATTAGGATACATTTCTAGACTGTTGGTATATTTGAACTTATTTTATCCTCAAAGTAACTCCAATGGGAAGGGTCTATCATTATTTCCATTTAATATTTGATAAACCAAAGAATAAAAAGTTCAAGTGATTAACCCAGCCTTCAAAAGATTATAATAGCATCTAGGAATTGGATCCCAAACATTTTGACTCTAGAGCCTGTGCTCTATTATCACTTATTAGAAACCATTTATTACATAGATGGAGTTGTTACCTTCTGTCAGGGGGGAAGGAGGAGGGGGGGAGAACAGCTTGATGTCTTTATGGCTTTGAAACTTGAAGCAAGTTAGTACTTGTCCAGTAGACATTTAGTATGAGTTAGTACTTGTCTAATACAAAGTCTTATTATACACACATCTCAACACCTACTAACCAAATGCACCTTTGAACCATACAGCTAGATCTTCAAAAGACTACAGGTGAAGGCCACATTCAGAGAAAGAGGCCATGCTTCCTCGTTGAATCTTCTGGTCACAGGATGCACATCACCTTAAAAGGCAGTTAATTCCTTTTCCTAGCAACTATAACCATCCAAAAGGCTTAACTGCTGAATGAGCATGGAATGGTAAGTTATCTGAAACTGGGCCTTCACTCTGACTCATGTTAGTCACAAGCCTTTTAATTTACTTAGTCCCACATTCACTCTGCCTCACCTAAATGACTGCAAAATAATCCTGTGAAGGCAATGTCAGGAAACATTTGGTTTCTAATTTCTCACATTTTCTAATTATTATCCAGCTATCCACAAAAAGTAGGGTCTATGTATGTGTCTACTCTACAGCCAGAGTTCATAGGTTTGAATTCTATTTTTTACCATATACATGCCGTGTGAACTTGAGTGAACTATTTAACTGCTTTTCCTTCATTCCTTCATCTCAAAAAAGTGGAAAACAATGATACTAACCCATAAGGGTTGGCAGGGCTACAAGAACATATAAGTGACTTTTGACAATGCATAGAATGAAGTTTGTACTATATAAATCTATCTATCTATCATCTCTCAATCAATATCTCTCTGCCACATATTTATCTAATTATCCATTCATCCATACAACTGAAACCTCTGATCTGCCCATTATCTGCCTTGATCTTAAAGGAGTCAATCCATCTCACATTGTCTGATACTATTTATACCTCAGACAAGAAAAGACAAGAACATGAAAAGTATCCTAGATAAACCTTAGAATTGTTTCAGTGATACAGCTTCTAAAATTCTCTAAATTAATTTATAAAAAGTTTCAAAGACTTTGTGGTAACAAGAACACAGCCTGGTACAATGTATGAACCAAATTCTTCTTTCTCTTCCCTTTCTCCTTTTCTTCCCTTTCCAAGATGACTTTCTAAGTAGCATTGTGTGTGTGTGTGTGTGTGTGTGTGTGTGTGTGTGTGTGTGTACACCAACACTGAGTTTAAACTCAGGGCTGCACTTGCAGGCTACCACCTGTGTCATATGCCTGCTATTCTGGCCTTTTGCTGGTTAGCTAGAATAATGATTTTCTTTGCCTGGGCTGGCTTTGAACGGTAATCCTCAGCTCTTACCCTCCTGAGTAGCTAGGAATACAGGTATTAGCCATCAGCACCTGGCTTTAAGCTGTACTTTCTAACTCTTCATCTAGTCTTTATTCAAAACTGGAGAAAGGAGGTCTTTGAGACACAAAACTTTCTGGATATGGCACATAGAACTGACTGGAGTCAAAACTAATTATTGTTTCTCTTCTCCAGTTGATATCTCCTTCTCTTTTGACTCATTCTACCCTGGGTATGCTCCTGTCTACCTGGCAAGGAGAACCTGGCTTCTGGGCATTTTACATTTGACTTTGTGAGGAAGAGTGGAGTCACCTGTATTTGATGTCCCAGCCTCTCTAGAAACCTTCCTTTGGTGATTCAACTAATCAATTCCCCATCAGGTCCCTGCCACTGATTTTGAAACTTCTCTGTAATGACATTAATATCTGTGACAATAAGAACAGGGGCTGGGGAGACACATGTGAAAACAAGATGTTTAAGATTCATGAACCTTATGGTGAACCGGTCACTGAAGATATCTGTGGAACACAATCGTTTCATCTCCTTAGAGAGAGAACTCAGGAAGAGAGAATATTTTCAGCCCAGGCAATGACAGTAACTTTCCAGTTCTGAAGATATTTGAAGAGTGAAGGAAGGTAGGGTGGGGATACAGCTGAGAGGTAGAATGCCTGCTTAACATGCATACAATGCTCTGGGTTCAATCATCAGCACAGTAAGAAGAGCTAATGGCAATGAGAGCCACAATGGAGAGAATATGCCCAAGGGAACATTGGGGAAATCAGGACTGGGCTCAGGTCAAGTTTGGATCTTAGAAAACATGGAAATATTTTGGATTGATGGAAGGAGAGATGCTATTGGAGATACAAATGTGTGAAAGTGGTAATACATATTGAGACACAGCCAGTAGTTTGACATGTCGAAATTTACACATACTATATGTTTCATAAATCATGCCTTTTGCAGAATAGTCTACCAATGTCTCAGTGAAGCTGGAGAGTTCATGGTCAAATGTATGGATCAAGACATTTGTGCAGAGCCTACTCATGCTACTGATTTTTACCAAAAGTTTCATAGAACTGTGGGAACTTCCATACACTGCTCTTTATCACAGTCATCAAAGATATGACAATGAAGCCATAGTGCATAAAGTATAAAGCATTTCAACTGTGTGCATGCTAAGGCTTGAATAAAAATTATGGTTCAATGTGATTTTACTTTCAGGAAATAAAACAAATCTTCCTCAAGAATATGAGTATGGTAAGGAAAATGGTTTCTGGGTGCAGGTGGCTCTTGCCTCTAATTTTAGCTATTCAGGAGGTTGAAGCTTTGTTCATCCTGGTTCAAAGCCAGGCAGGGTAGCTAAATCTATGAGACTATTTAACTAGGAAAAAGCCAGAATTGGAGGTGTGGGCCAAAGTGATAGAGTGACCAAAAATGCTAAGGAAGATCTCGAGGCCCTAAATTCAACACACACACATACACACACACACACACACACACACACACGGGGGGAAGGGTAGAGAAGGGGAGGAGAGGGAGAGAGAGAGAGGAAGAGGGAAAGGGAGAAGGAGGGAGAAAAGACAGGAAAAATAAAGTAAAACAAGATAGCATGGGCATATTGTTGCTTTTACAAACAACATTTATTCAAAGTAAATATGTATTTTAAAAATGTACCTAAGTTCATTAAAAATTATTCACGTAATCTTAGACATCTACTGAAAATAGTACAACAATATGGTAGACTCTGGCTAAACAGATAAATAGATACCTTCCCTTCCACAAATTTTTTTCTTACAGAATTTTTCAGTTTATTATTGATCATATGCAGCTATATTCATGCTTCTGTAACACATATGTCTTACCTGGGTTCAAATATAGAAGTAAAAAGCTGATGGCAGATTTCTTCAACTCCCTATTGTCCAATTCAAAAATTAACCTACCATATGGAGAGGGACTTTATGACTTAAAATTATACACTCCACATCAAGTCACTTTCTATAAACCTAAAATAATTGGCACACAGTGGGCAGGTGTCCTATCTGAATTCTTTAATCTTATTATCATCAACAAACCCTGAAGATGTGTGTGTGTGTGTGTGTGTGTGTGTGTGTGTATGTGTGTGTGTGTGTGTGTGTGTAGTGTGTAGCATAGCAACTTTGGCTGGAACACATTTTTGATGATTTGTTTTAATGTGGTGTCTTGCATTGTTAAAAAAAATTCTTATATGTGCTTGAAAGATGTGTTTATAAAAACAGAACAAGATAAGGACTCTACAAAAAATGTTATTGGGTACTTTTCACACGAGGATTAGGAAGACCTGGGGATATTTCCTTCATCTAATACTTCAGGTTTAAGATTATTGGGAAGGAGTTTTTAGTTTGGGGTTTTGTTTGTTTTTTTTTTGCTTGTTTATTTTTTGTCAGTTGGTGGGGATTGAACTCTGGGCCTGGAAGCTGTCCCTCAGCTCTTCAGCTCAAGGTGATCACTCTACCACTTGAGCCACAGCACCACTTCTGGTTTTCTAGTGGTTTATTGGAGATAAGAGTCTCATGGACTTCCTGCCCTGGCTGTCTTTGAATGGAAATCCTCAGATCTCAGCCTCCTGAGTAGCTAGGGTTACAGGCATGAGTAACTGGCACCCAGTGAGTTTTCAGTTTTTAATTGACATCATTTACAAGCTAGATCTTCCTCATAAGTAAATTGCTGTCTTGTGGAGAAGTGTCTCAGCATCTTTCCTTCCTTCCTTCCTTCCTTCCTTCCTTCCTTCCTTCCTTCCTTCCTTCCTTCCTTCCTTCCTTCCTTCCTTCCTTCCTTCCATCTTTCCTTTCTCCCTCCCTCCCCAATTCTTTCCTACCTCCTTTTATTCTTTCTTTCCTATTTATTTTGCTATAGAGTATTGAGAAGGTGATAGTAAATAAAACTGCAATTAAAGGAAGATATGGCATATGAAAAATAAGTTTATATTACATAGTATGTTTACAATTTAATGCTTTTGGTTTTTGTAAATAAATTTACCTATTTAAAAATTAATGCTGATTACTGAAGAAAATTGTTTTGAATGTATATTATTCTTGCAGAAAGGCAGGGAAGCATGCAGTGTGATAAAGTCATTCATCATAGTCAGCTTAAAATTGGCAAAGCTCATGCCAAGCACGGGCTCTGTAGAAGATTTCATGGTCAATTAGGTAAATACATGTATAAAATGGACCCAGCACAGGAGATCACCAAGCCAATTACAGATCATGTGTAATTTTCCCCCCTGCCCCAAGTCCCAGAAGTAATTTTTCCTCCCACAGTTAACCAATATCCAAATAAAATGGACGATCAACAATTTCTGAACATGATAGCGTGTTACAATATTGTGAAATGTGGAGTCAATTATCTCAAAGGTCTTGTTAGAGTTGGTCCTTCTGTATTGCTGAGAGTTTTTCAAGAAATTCCAGCTAAGAGTATCTAGCCTAGGTTTCATGACAGAATGATGGACATGTCTGTACAATTTTAAGGATGTATTTTCCTATTTGAAATACAAATTTGAGGCTCATGGTTAGTTGTTTTGCATTTGTGCAAGATGTAATTTATATTATGGAAAACCTGCTGGCTAGTGTTCCATTCAGAAGCATTCTGTCCTACCATTTTATGCATGTCTGTATTCAAACTAGAACAGTATTAAATGAACCTTTTATATTTTAAATATTCAAGAGTTTTATATTCAAAATTTCTTCTCTTACTGTCAAACTATTTTGCCTAAAGGCAAGGTAAGATCAAGTTAGACTCTCAAAGGTAGAATTAAATTTTATCATGGCATCCATCATAATATATAGTTTGCTTAATATGCAAATAGGGAGTATATGGATTCAGAGAATAACGGATTTGTAGGTAGTATGAAATCCCAGGGACCACTTTTATAGAATAAATTCCTTTTAAATTTACATTTCCATCATTTTAATGAAAACACAGGGTAAACAAATTATAATAGCAATGTTTTAACTTACATTTTCAATTCAATTTTACTCCTATTGTATTATTTTTTCATGGCAGCTCTTTATTTAAAAGTAATAAAAATAGGAGAAATAGAATAAATAAATATGATATTAAAATAAATATACCTCAGCCTTTCTGGAGAGTTCCATCCAATCACTTTTGTCATAACTGCACATGAGACTTGCAATCACAATCTTCAAAAAGAAAATGAGAAGAATGTCAGTTCAAGCAGTTATGCTATTCTACACAAAGATTTGTATACATGCATTTATAATAGCTAACTTTCCTATAGGAATTCGTTTCAATCTCTTGAACAAATGGCTTCATCAGAATAAAGCACAGGGCAGCGTTTGTGACTTCAGACATAGGTTAGAGATCTTTTCATTTATATTTGTGACATTGCAAGACATTTGACTTTTTGCTCTTCTACGTTCTAAAGTAGATTTCATAACACAGAATTGAGCATCTCACAAGGTGACATATATTTATATGAGAAACGGTTGTCTACGTTTTTTGGGGGGGGGTCAGTTGTGGGGCCTGAAGTCTGGGCCTGGGTGCTGTCCCTCAGCTCTTCAGCTCAAGGCTAGCGCTCTACCACTTGAGCCATAGTGCCACTTCTGGCTTTTATGCTTATGTGTTGCTGAAGAATTGAACCCAGGTCCTCATGCATGCTAGGTAAGCACTCTACCTGAGCCACCTTCCCAACCTGTATACATTTTATAATGTGATTGGAATGTGATATAATTACTAGTATAGCAGAGAAGATTCAGCCCAAGAGAAAGGGGAAAAATAGTTATTTCCTTTGTTATAACTTAGGACATGATAGCTGGTAACATCCTACCTATTCATACTGCATTGTAGTTTTCAATTATGCTAAATGTTGCCATTTAACCACAGTCTTACACTAATCCTGAAATATAGGGGCATAGAATCGTAGTTACTAGCCATTTCTTTCCAAAGCCAGAGTCTTCAGCATGGAAATTTGACTCTCTCAGCTGATGGGGTGGCCACTGGCAGGGGACTGGGCTTCTCCATTAGTAAAATGTGGGCATAATACTCAGACATGCAAGAATAGAAATGGTTCAAAAGGTAATCATATTACCATATGCTTAAACTCTGACTCAAATGTTTTCGCTTTCTGTTCCCATTTCATAATTCCTGGCCTCCTTTGCCTCATTTTCAGAGGAGGAAGATGCCAAAACATGTGTGAATGTGGATGATGGTACAAGCAGATGTTAAGACTGCAGTGCTCCAAAGGGACAGACCAGGACTGAGACACATGCCCTGGGACTCAGTCTTTGCTTTTTGACCATTGGCTTTGCTCCCCTAAAATGGCTGCTCAGTACATGACAATGAGATTATTAATATTATTATTATTACCATTCAAAGACTATAAAGCTGGAGCACCAATATTATATACCGAGCCTAAAGTCACAGAATCTGGTAGGAGGGCTAAAAGCCATTAAGCTCTCATGTTCAGTGGTGTCAGGTGCATGTTTAACAGGGCAGAGGTCTATAGTAAAGGGGATGTGAGTATTTCCAGCACTGCTAGAAGGATGGGAAGCCCTGATCATATTAGAGAGAGGATTGAAAACCAGGCAGACAAGTTGTCTTTCATGTTGGGCTGATTTGCCTTTCCTTACAGACTATAGCAAACATAGTGTTAGGCACAAAGGAAGGACTAACTGAATGAGTGTCCGCATGAGCTTGTGAAAGGTTTAAGAGCAAAGGATTGCTCTGTTAGCTTGAACTTATAAGAAGGCTAAATAGAAACAGAAATGAATATCTAGGGTTACAGAAGAGGGAAAAAATGAAGAATTGGTGAAAACTTGCAAGTTACAGAAGGTGGAGTGCTGAATGATCAAGGCTAAAGCAGGAGTCAGTCCTGGTAACAGAAAAAGGATCAGATGTCAAAATACACACACATGTCAACTAGAGAGTCCAACTGGGGAGGAATCTGGAGATCTGTTTAGTGGACCCCAGTGATGAGGAAACATCTCAGAGTATCAGATGAAGGTTGAAGGAAGGCTGGAGAAACATTGGGTTTGGATAGATTCCTATGAAAGAGAGGCAAAGAGATGATAAAAGATGATGAAGAGAGGAGGGGCACTGAGCATGCCCAAGAACTGTGTCTTTAGCTCAGGATTCAAAGTTTGGTATCTGGGGAAGCTCCAGAATTTGAGAATGTTTTTGGTGGGGGTGGAATGGTAGAATGCTTATTCCACAGCCTTGTCTTGCCAGCATCAAAGACAGTGGAAAGTTATATTCTGCTTGGATCTGTTAACAAACAGAAAAGACCATCCCTGATGCGCGTCCCACTCTTTCCAAGTGACCTAAGCTAACACTTCCTTTTTCTTGGAAAGAAGGAGGAGTAGGAGGAAAAGGAGGAAGAACAGAAGGAAAAGTTAGAGGAGGAAGAGGAAAGGCAACAGGAACTGATATCTCATTTGAAGGAAAATACCTGAGACAGAGCCTGGCATCGGGTGATGATGATAAATTTGTATTGCCTTCAGGGGTCTCAAGGTAAAGGTAAGGAAAAGAAAAACCAGACAGCCCCCCCCTCCTCACCCAAAAACCAAACTCAATGGCTTATAAGTCCAAGAATGTTGGGGTAGGCTAAGGCCAAGGGTCACTGATGGAGCTTCCAGGAACAGAGGAGGATAACAAAGCTACAGACTCAAGAAACAACTTTATTCATTAGTCTTTCTCCTGGGGTGAAGCTGACCAGCAAGAGACTTCAGTTTTAAGGAGGTTTATAGCTTAACACAAAACAACATACAAAAGTCAAACCAGATAGACCCAATCTCCCCCCCCCCACCGACGCCCAACACAAACACTCCACATGTAATTAAATGGTCTTCCAAGTTACATTCACAAATGCATATGAGTTGACTGTTTCAACCCTGAAACAACAGAGCTGGGTCCTTTCCTCCCTTGCTCCTCAGGGTTCTTGGGGGGAAAGGAAGGAAGTTCCTTCTGGTGGGCGGGACCCCAAGGCAGAAGGGCTGACCAGAAAAATCCACTGTCAGGAAAACAAGGTTTCCTACCACTGACAGCAGAAGATGATAGATGCTCTCAACTAGGGAGTAACATGGTTCCTCTTTGCTAAGTGACAATTTTAATTTTGATAAAGCTGTTATTTGCTTCAAATTTATATTGATTGTGCCAGGGTCAGTTAAAATCATCATCTGCCCTATAGGTCGCTGAGAATCATGAGGAACTACAATTGAGCTTGATGGAGAAGACAAATAAATACACCCAGAGTCATGTCCTGGAGGTGGAAAGCATCAAATGCTGTGGAGGCAGTGGCTGGATTTGATTTGAGGCAGACTCTCCCTGGAAGGGGAGGGAGTGAGTGTGCCCATGTTCTCCTCTTCCCATTTGCTGAAAACAGAATCTATTCTCTTGTCCCCACAGATGAGAAAGAAGCGCATCACCCAGCTGATCAGAATGGCTGATATTCTATTCCCATCAAATCCCAACCCTAACTATTAAAAAATCAAAAACAAAGACGTATTTTCTTTCTTCTTTTTTTTTTTTTTTGCATGTGGGCCTGAACTCAAGGCCTGAGTGCTGCCCTTGAGCGTTTGTGCTTCGTGCTTAAGGGTAGTACTCTACACTTGAGCCACAACTCCACTTCTGGCTTTTTGGTAGTTTATTGGAGATTAGAGTCTCACAGAGTTTTCCTGCCTAGGCTTGCTTCAAACCATGATGCTCAGATGTCAGACTCTTGAGTAGCTGGATTAAAGACATGAGCCACCAGTACCACTGGGTAAAAGTGTTTTCTTATTGGTCCCTAAGTTAGAATGAAGAGAGTTGGGGGCTGCTAGTGGACTCTTCATTTAACCTTCTTCCTATCTTGCCCAAAGCTAGATACATAGAGGCAGTAGGGTGAAAATAGAAGTGAAGACAAAGGACCATGGGAAAGTGGAAATAATGGAGGTGCAGAGGTGTCTGCTCTACCTGTGAACTTCAAATTACATTCTGAATCTGTCACTTAGTCTTATGACATGCAGAAACAAAGATTGTCTCCTCTGACATGCTTCCTAAGCAAATTAGTCTAGGCACTCTAAACAGCTATGTTTCAAACCAAGCAATGGCTTGTAAAACTCTGCAGTCACATGCTATTTCTGTGAAATCAAAATGACCAAAATATTCTTTTATCTTTTGTTAAAAGATATTGGCATTTTACTAAGGGTCAAGCTAAGAGAAATCACAAGAAGAGCCCTGAGAATAATTTAATTTTTCTTTGATGATTAGAAAGTCTTTTAGCATTTTGCTCTACTCAGGTTTTAATCAAGTAATAGAAGACAAGCCATTTTTTTCTAAGAAAGAAGAAAATTGATGGATATTTTATACTGTGGAATTTCACACAGTGTTACTGGAAATGATTACGCACTGAACCATACTCTTAACATCATCTTTCTCTTTATCAATAGTTTACTCAATTTATTTTGTATGGCACATATTTTAAATGTTGTTGAATGAGGTCATAGGTAAAATGTTATTTGGTACACAGAACTTGAACTTCATCTTCCCCCGCCCTCCATCCTATGATACTCTGTCTGATGAGAGGTACCATAATATCAATGTAAGGGAATTGAGTACCTACCCTGTCAGGTACTAACTGAGATACAGAAGCACCGAATTTGAGACATTTACTTAAACTGTGTCCATTCACCACATTCAACCAGTATTCACTGAACAATCTATGAGACCATATAGTTATTCTAATTCAGAAGTGAGAAATAAAATTCGATTGCAGGGACTTTCAGAGATCACAGAAAATAAGAGAAGATAGTAATAGTGCAATTTCTAAGTCAAGCTTATTGGTATGAAGGCAACAATACAGGAAAATATAGAGAGAATCACTGGGGTACATACCCAGAGCAGATTGTAAGAGATGGGTAGGAAAGGACAGGGGTTGTTTAGTTGGGAACTGAGATGACAAGGTATCTCACTTTGAGTGATGGAATGTGGAAGTGAATGAAAGCTGCTACTCCAGGGTAACTTCATGGGCGAAGAAAAAGCAGTGGAGGACGTGAGCATGGAATATTCTAGGAAAGAAAAGGCCTAGATGGTTGGAACTTCATGGCAGGACAAGAACAATATGAGAGAATACAAGAGAAGCAGGTGATAGTCAGGTGTCTCTGAGCTTTAAGTCCCGTGGGAGTTTGGATTTTACTGTAGTGGC